CGGCACGCAATGGAATGCTACATTAGGGAACGGAGTTCACCGCGCCCAAGTCTCCGCGTGTCGGCATAACAACTACGGAGTGCGATGTCCACGGTGCTTGTTGCTGTAGCCCTTTGACCCTTTGAGTTGGGCCCCCGGATCGTCCAATTCCGGGGTGGTCTGGCAGTGCAGTCCGTCTGTGAATCTCGCTCCCTAGTCTAGTCTATCTAGTCTGGGAGTTATGAGGATCAGAATCTAGTGTACAATCCTTGAGGTTATCCAAGCTAGCTTGGAAAAACCCTGGGTGGTATTAGTGTATAGATCTGCTGGCTGCAGAACCGACCCTTCGGTCGCAGCATTGGAAGAAAGCAGGTCGGTATTTTCTGTACGGAGTAAATCCAGAACCTACCTTAGTTCCGAAGGCTCTTCCTCAGACTACCCGGTAGACCCTTCATCTCCGTGACCAAACTACGAGTAGAAAACAGGAGAAACGGGAGAAGAAAAAGAGGGTCCGCTGCAGCCAGGTGTGGTCTCCACTTGTGGAAAACACAATACCAAAAAACTTGCACTTCCGGTCCACGTTATTGTTATCCTAGGATTCTGGGATTGGTTTTGAGAACATGGAATTCTGACTTCTGGCAAATAGATATGTTATACCACAAGGCACTGAGGGGGGGGGGGGGGGCAAGAGCCCAGGCGCATTCGGTAGCCTGGTGCAGTGTGAAGACCAAGGGAGAGAGGGTGGGCTTTACGTATGCGGGTTCGGTTTATTGGGGCCCTGACCCTGACCCGGACCCGGACCCGGACCCGGACCTGGGAAATGGATGTGAGACATTATTCAGGGGAAATGGGAGCACACGCACGCACACACACACTCACTCACACGGGGGTTATTCGTGCTCCGATCGGGGCTCTCTTTATCTTTTCTTGGGTTGGGTATATGGCATCGAGCGCGCTTGGTTGTTTGGTTTGAGTTGAGGTGCAATTACTGCAATTACTACAGTACGTAGTATATTCTCATGTATATTCTGTGGTATAAAGTGTACCGGCGACATCGACCTTAAGTCATTCGACATATATGAAGAACAGTGCTGAGCTCTCCTCAATGACCTAACATCATGCAAACCGCGTCCTGGGTTGACATCCAGGTTTTCTAGAATTTTGCGCCGTGGGAATGGTGCCTGGCACGCGTTCCCTAGGCTCGCACCCCGCGCGCGCCGAGAGCGAGAGACTAAGAAGTGGTCGGAGCGACGGAGCCCACCTCCTTCCCCTCCCCCCTGCTATATTTAGACGCGCCGAGCAGCCGGCCAGCCCGGCCAGACGCGGCTACTTTATCGTGATCGACATCCAGCGGTCACCGCCATTGGGTGGTGGTGGTGTCATGTGGACGGGCGGATGGGTCCCGCTGGATCTTGAATTTTGATTCTCGAGGGGAGGGGGCTGGGGTACGTTCCTGATCTTCTGGCCGACTCCCTGGCTCGTTTTATAGGCTGTTCTTATGGATATTGAATTGAGAGTATGTAGATAATGGTTTTTACATTGGTACTCCGTACCGTGAGTGGGTTTTGGTTGTAGCCTTGGAGCGTACGGGATAAGGGGAAGTGCTGAGGAACGCCCGCGGCGCTCAATGACATCGACCCGGACTAAGGAGTACGTAACCCTAATCTCAGGGTCTATAGCGCATCCCCACCGGAGACCTATGTATCCACATGTGGGCCTACGCTACGAAGAGGAAAAAAGAGAAATGCAAAAAGGTCGTGCCCGGGATCGAACCGGGATTACAGGAATCAGAATCCTGGGTGCTAACCATTACACTACACAACCTGGTAGTTGATTTCTTATCAACTTATACTTAACATGTTCCTTTGTCCTATTCATTCCGTAGCAGTTCTCTTCATCAATATCCATCAAAACAGGGTTGGGGATTTTCGCTTGCTGGACCGACATGTTTCAAGTGCCCAAGACATATAGATTATGCTCAAATATATTCACCTCCAATGCCAAGCATAGTCATCCGAGGTTTGTCTGAGGATTTTTGTTCCACAAGTTACCTTATGTATGCTGCTTATAAATTTACTTCCTGTATGGTACATAGTAGCACGATCCAGCTCATTCGAGGTGTAAAAATAGGTAGGCAAAAGGCTGCATGTCAAACCATCTTCTATGCTGCAAAATACATATGTCAACTTGGGGTAGCCTGTAGAAACAGGTAAATACCAATGTGGTCGCGTAATGGTCACGAACGCAGCACCCCGGCGCTAGCCAATCTCCCCAGGAGACAAAAGGATATGAAAACAGATCAGTGGCGAGATAGCAGAGCTATTGGATTGTGCACAGAGGAAGAGAGAGAGAGAGAAATCGCATGGACAACGGGAAGAAACTGCTGGGTAGATTATGTGGCTGTCACATTGCCAATGGTTTGGTCACAAAGCCGTTGGCTTCGCTCTTATCATCAATGTAATTGCCTATATCTGGGGTATGTTATTTCCGGCGAGGATCAGGCACCGGATGTTCATATAGGCACTGATAGAGATACATAGCAGAGACAATCGATCCCGCGGCTGCCCCTGGACCAGTCAGTCTCGTTTAACAAGTAGTGAGGTGACCAGTGCCATCTTATTCAACTCAACTCGACTTGAGGGATACAATAGGATTGACCTAGGTGGACAATGGTTGATGCTCAGTTGGCAGATCGCATGCGGTCTTATCTCTCTATGAACCTACCTGATAGGCAAGACCACAAGCATAGTGGTTGCTTCTAAGATTCCTGTCGACAGCAGATTGAAATGATCTATTTCTAATTCTGAGATCTCTGAGCTGAAATCGCATGGCATGGAGAGACACGGAGTGCTGGTGCACGGCTTGACCCCATCGCATCCGAGTGAATGGCCCTCAATTCTGCAGGTATCTTTTCTCAGCCCCAAAGCTTGACACTGTACACAGCAACCGTGGCACACATTGTTAGCAGCAAGTGCCCTATAGCTCCACAGTCAGCGCGCTAAGTTGAAGACTCTATGATAGTAGAATGAGCTTATATCCATACTCTAAGGCACAGTACCGGCCCCACTCAACCTAGCAGCGAACGAACACACCAAGTGGGTCCATCCAACGGTCCCGCTTCTTTACGAATGCGAGCTTCCCTTCTCAGCTCAACTTCAGCATCATCCAGATAGAACATTCCCTGAAAGATGGTACCAACGATGATTCTGGCTGCGACTCACGCCGCCCCTGATCCCGAGAAGCAGGGTTTTCCATTCTCGCAAACCACTATAAGAATCCAGACCCCTGCCCTCCAACACGATGCAAACCACAATAACCGTGCAGATTAAATCATCTACTTCCAACAATGGCAGACCCCAAGCAGCAAAAGATCTATCGCGCCTGGCCCACGGACCCGCCAACCTACACCCAAACCAACAACGAGCAAGTCCGCACCATCACCCACAACAGAGACTGGAATCATTCCCTCTGCGACTGTTTCTCCCCCGGCTCATTATGTGGGTTCTTTGCCCTCGCCAGAGGAACCCCCTCAACCCTGATTCCAGGAGTGCAGAAAACAAACCACTAATACCCAAGACCCCCAGGCCTAACAAGCTGGTGTCTCCCATGCCTTACTTTCGGAAAGACGCAAGCGCGCATCCGCGACCCGACGCTCCAGAACTTCAGCTACATCAACACTGACGTGAGTGACACAAAGACCACCAACGAGAAGGGCGTGTCTCTGCCTTCTCAACACCCTTCCTCGTCAACATATCCATCGCACCGTAGACTAACTATGTGAGCCACAGTGCGCCATCTTCACCTGCCTCGGCCTCAGTCTCTCCCAGTGGATCATCCAAACGATCCGGCGCGGCGAGATGCGCGAGCGCTTCGGCATCGAGGGCTCGTGCTGCGGCGACTGCTGCACGACCTTCTGTTGCGGGTGCTGCGCCCTCATCCAGGAGGAGAAGGAGATGGAGCTGCGCACGAGGCCGGAGCTCGCGGGGTATCAGGCGGCGCCGCAGATGGCGTATTCGGCGTAGATTTCGGGGTGGAAGTTCATACGGCTCATTAAGCTTGAACTGGGCATGAGAGAGGCTGTTTCTGGGTCCAGTTGGGGGTGTATTTGTGGTATGGATTAGGTTGGGTTGTGGGCAAGGGATGTATCTGTGTATATGACAGCCGGAAGATGCTGTCACCAGTGGCACGTCGCCAGGGGTTTTCTTTTGTTCTTTGTATACCCTATCATCTGTGGTGTTTCTAATACCGAACCAGAAATAAAGATTAATCAGTCTATCTTGGAGTGGTAGTCAGTAAGTGATCGGGGAGAACAAGGTAGAGAGTTTGTCCTGTGTACAGGCGAAGACCAGAGAGAAGGGGATCTCCCTGCATACACAACGGAATTAACCTGCAGCACAGTACATAGGCAAGGCAGCTAGCCTGAGGCCTCAGGCATGCATCTGAGTGGTCTGAGCGTAGGGCGTCGCTTTAACAGCAGTTTTCTACCACCGCCCAGATTGAACAGTTTCCCGGTCCAGTTTTTCGGGACTGTGACTGGTGGATTTTCGGGTTTCCACCGTCGAGGTCGCGGGCGTTCTGCCGGCAGTGGCGGTGAGGAGAGCGGTTAGTAGCTACTGGCTGCTGTGGGGAGCCTGAGGGGCTAGGTGTCGGTGCGGCAGTCGCCGTGTTGATAGTGCCGCAGACCGCTAAGCAATGGACTTCTCGACTCATCCAGCTGAATATGGTTCCACTTTGAAGACTTGAGCCGATGTCTGGTGTCTCTCCTCTGACGGCTCTCCTCTTGAATCTGAGATGGTTCACGAACTCGATAATAGGAAAGAGATGACATGCAAATTGGACAAGTACTGTAGCGACAGCTACGACCCCACATGGCAAGGCATCCGGATTGCACAGGTATGTGTCGCCACACCCAGGTGTGCAGATTCATTAGAAGAATATTATCAGGATAAGGTATATACAGAGCATTAACGTGTGAAACCGGACACACCAGACGAATGGTTCGATGCCACAAGACAGTCCACTATTTAGGGGGGAAAAGTATTCACGAGAATGGAAAAAGAAAGGAAAGGATCGGATCCTTCAGCGCCAGGCCTCAGTCTCAACGGGATGTGCTTGCTATACCATGCTCTTGAAACTTGACGCAGAGCGGAACAAGCTTGCCAGCGACGGTAGGGACTTGAGACGCTGAGGCCGTGGCAGGGTTTCATGCAGCGACGCCGGGGTGGGGAGATCCGGGCTCGCGCACTGCGAGTAGAATCGGCCGATGTCACCATCAGAGCCGTACTCGGTGGGGGTCGCAGAACTGATCGACCGGGGGATTCCGTCGGTCGAGATCTGAAGATTGCTGCCCATGTACTGGGCTTGGTGTCGCACGGGATATGCACCGAAACAGGCTCGGGGGACGAGACCCTCCTGGGCAGTTTCAAGGACGTTGACAAGGGCCTGCGGAGAAGATTTCATTAGCATACGTGCGATGGCACATTGTGGAGAAGGGATTGACTCACCCATCCGTCGTCGTAGACGAGATGCAGGACGGCATTTTGACCCTCTTTCAGCTCGACATGCTCGGGGCTGACAGGCTTGAAGTCCATCTCTACCCGGTACACTCTGGCAAAGGAAATATCGGGCGTGCCGGGATAGGTCCGACTTTCCACAGTTGGGCTTCTTGAAACCCTGTCGACAGTGGGACTCCTTGACACTGAAGGGCTGCTGCTCGCTGATGACGATGACGATGACGATGGCGATGACGATGATGATCCTGATGATTCCGGGGAGATGGGTGTGACAGTCTCCACAGTTGCTACTTTTGCCTCCGGGAACTTGCCCGTCTCCAGTTTGGGCGTGCTTGATACTGCAGCATCCTTTAAGCGACCAACATCACCGACCAATGTTTCCGAAGAGCCAGTAGGGCTCTCAATACTTTCAGTTACCTCCACAACAGGGGCCAGCTCGTTTGCGTGGCACGACCTAGGAAGGTCCCGCAAGCCTTGCTGCAGACTGCTGGTACTATACGTGCTGTATGTGCTATAAGGACGGGGAACGTGGGCCTTGGCCGCCCAGGTCGAATGTACGAACCCGCCAACCTTTTTCAGTGTGGTCACACTTGTCGAGTACACCTGGCGACTGAACTCCTTGATCGGCTCATACTTTGCGTTCTCGAAGTGGCGACGCAGGACAGGGATTTTAGATTGATATGTTGTCTTGATCTTGCCGCCCGCTTGACGCATTGCGCTGGCCCCTTCGGTGTAGACCTTGGATGCGTACCTGACGAACTCGTCACTTGTTCTTGGGCTTTCAGGCACCTTCTCGCCGCGGCTTTTCGCAATGATTTCTCGGAGGCGGCGCTTTTTCCGGCGAAGCGACCACAGAATGAGTCCTGCCATCGCGGCGACGACGATGATGACGCTAAGGCCTATAGCCGCCTTTGTGCCGGCAGGCGTGCCCACATGCTTTGTTGAATTAACCGAGAGAACGGTGCTGGTGGCAGTGGCTTCGCTAGTGGTGGATGAGGGGAGAGATTTCGACGTGTCGGTAGCAGTGGGAATCACCGCTGTTGCGAGAGTTGTAGCCCCTACGACCGGAGCGGCGGCGGCAGCCGTTGGGGGCTCGGCGCTGGGAGCTCCAGCACTCCATTGAGTAGTCGGGTCGGTCGTTGCGATTTCTGCGGCTGTTTCGCTTGTTGTCGCGGCATCGCTAGCGGGAGCTGCCCCCGTATTGGCCGTTCCCGCTGCAGTGCTATCCTGTGCAGCTACTGGGGCAGCAGCAGCAGCAGCCTCTGTACCGGCACTGGCTGATGTAGTACCTGCGGTGGCTTGTGTGGTTGGGTCGGTGGCTGCCGCTGCTGTCCATTGCCCGGTGCTCCCTTGCCCTGTGCCTGCCGCACTGCCATCAGCAGCAGTGGCCCCGGCGGCAGTAGTGCCGTCCGCTGCGGCAACTGGGGCTGTCGCTGCCCATGTACCTGTGCCATCTGAAGTCCCAGCTGCCGTTCCTGCCGCCGTCCCTGCCGCTGTTCCCGCCGCTGTGCCTGCTGCTGTCTCGGCTGCTGTCCCGGCTGCTGTCCCGGCTGCTGTCCCGGCTGCTGTCCCGGCTGTTGACGCATCACCGGCTGCTGCACCACTACCTGCCCACTGTCCAGAGCCGGCCACGGAGGTGTCCGCGGACCATTGGCCAGTGCCATAGGCAGAGGCGCCACTGGCTGACCAGGTTGACCCAGAAGCATCGGCCAGTTGAGGTTGCCTCTTAGCAAGGCCGAGGCCATGGGGTCTGTTTCTTAGTCGCATCGTTGGTCCTTAGTATGGGTGTACGAGCATCGACCAAGCAGGCAACAATTTTCGATAGTGAAGCTAAAAGTCGGGAAAAGGTTTGGAACTGGACGGCTGTCATTGTAACTAAATAAGTATCAAGCCAGCAGACGCCACAAATCGCTCAACCCATTCAAACCACAACATACACACTACACAAACAAACTACCACCTTCAGTATCCCACTGTGACAATCCACTAGCGAAGTGGGGTTGTTCTTTGCGTCTTCTACTATTGTTGCATCCGCGGGCTGTGGAATGTGTTTTCTATAGTCTATCGCATTCTTAGGGTGGACGAAGCGCATTCCGGCGTCAACCCTAACGCTCTTTGGGAGATTACACATTGCCCGGGAGGACAGTCCACCTCATACAGCGTCCTCTTTATTGTTTCTCCGATTTGCCGTCCGCAGCAGCTTCTCGCTGTCTCTCCGCAGCATGCCTGAGCTTGTTGTCTAGTCAACCCTCGGCCTCCACTTTGAGCTTGATGTATTCTCGAGCCTAACACTCGATGCAGATCACTTCCGCTCCATCAAGTTTTTGAAGTCAACGATGACGCTTGCACTTAATAGTCTCTCTTGATATCCCAGGCAGAGTACTCTGTTGCACCCTTACTTCTGACGCTTACTTGGCTCACTTGTCACAAGCCGTCGTTATTGTCCTGGCGTGCAGGTACCCGTCCAGGCCTCAGTGATGGTGCGATGGAATGTGGTGGACATTCCTCCAGACGGAGCCCAGTCTAGCGGTACTTCCTCTGTTGTTGTTTTGGGTTCGTGATATAATGGAGACAATTAACTTGATTCATGAGTTTGCTCACCATAGAGTCAACAATATGCTTGAGATTACTGTAAACATTAGTAGACAGTAGTAGACACTGAACGCAATATCAAATTTTGATTCCCAAGGCTCCTCGTAGTCTCCAGTCCTTGCCATTATCCCACGGTACCCCTACAATGCTTTGTACTATCCCCACTACATCAATATATATTTCACCTCTACACAGACTTTAACCCCTCTCACCGTCCCAACCCACACAGTCTAAAACCGTATTCTCTGGCCATCCAACCCAGAAACTAGACGTATACTCTATAACAATTCCCAAAACCTCAACCCATCACCCCCAAAAACCACAACAAAGTCCACGAAAACCAGCACCACCTTTCCAACCCTACCCAGAATAATCCCCAGGCACCCAAGGCATCCACCCAAACCCAAACCCAAGACCCCTCACTACAAGCAGGTACCAGCTACAAGCTAGCTACCTCCCATCCCCTGAAATTCCACAGCCGGTCTTACATCGTTTCCCCTGCAGCTAACCCGACCAGGTACGATCTAGCTTGCCAGGTAAGGTACGAAGCTACAACCCTCCCAGGTACCATTCTATTTCTTTCACTCGGATAGGTCCAATCCACCCCCCAAGCTCCTCTTTCTCTTTCTTTCTAGATTCAAGGTTCGCATCCCCCATCCCCTGAGAAGGTTAGCTCACATACCTCCGCTGCCTAGGAATCCGCACTATAGACTTTAAGTTTTTGGTTGTCGCTACTGGCCTATCAACATGCTGGTGTTGGGGGGGGGGTGGTTTCCATGGTGAGGCAAGTAATTTTGTTACCTTATTTCGGGATGGGTACTTGTCCACCTGGCAGGTTGTTGGTGGTTTTGGGGATGGTGGTGTTGATGTTGTTGATTTTCGGCTTGGTGCTATCTCCTCGAGGGCGGTGTGGGCGTGGGGGTTTGGTTATTGGTGGGGACAGGACGGGACTTGGAGGGTCTCAGGCTAGGAGTATACCTAGCTAGTAGTGTTTTGCTTGGGTGGTGGCGGTGGTGGTAGTAGTAGTAGTAGTCATTGTCTTTGTCGGGTGGAGTATGGGTATCCCTAGGTTGTTATTCTTGTTGTTGTGTCTTTTTTCTTGGTTGTCAAGGATTGGGGGAGGGGAGGGAGGGGATTTGTCTGGGTCGTTGGAGTGGTAGTGTCCAGCAGTTGGGTACTTTTTTTTTTTGTGGAAGTGGAAGGGAAGTGGGTTGGGAGAGTTGTGGTGGTGAGATATGGTGTGATCTATTCCTTGGTGCTGTTGATGAATGTAGATGTAGAACACAGCAGCATATATATCTCTCTATTTGTATATCTGTAGACGGATCGCTGTAATGTTGGTGGCGTTCGGCCTTACTCGGTAGTGCCTATTTCTTGACGAGAGATGTGGGTATCTTCTATGCTATTACTTTACATATGAGTCTATGTGTAGACTACATTATTGGCTAATTGCTATTGTTCTGGTGCTTGACTAGTCTGCTTGTTGGTGAATACTAGGTAGACAATTTACCCGCCGACTCGGTACAATCTGAACAGCAGTCGCCGTGCGGGGATGGAAACAAGGGATGAACCAACCGAACCAACTCCCTCCCAGTCAATTGAGCTACTACCTAGTATTTTACATGGGTCAAGTGTCCAGCTCGTACGATGATCTGACCCAACTAATGTATCTGATGCTAGAAATTCAAGTATCTTGCTCACAAATACATGCCCATGCACACGCTACTCGCTAAAGAAAACATACAGGATTCACCTACAACAAACCCGAGTCCTCCTACCCACCCTTTCTTCTGCCACAGGCCGTGATTCACCCTGATTCACCTACCTACCACCCCCCACCCCTTCCCCCACCGCCCAAACACAACACTCAATCCCCCTCTCCCGCAACTCCCCATCGATATTCCCCACCTCCTGCACATAGTACGGCTGCCGCGGCAGCTGCAGCGTCCACCGCCGCCGGGGCAGGTGCAGCCCGCGCAGCGGCTCCAGGAACAACGGCAGCTTCTCGACGGGCTCGCCGAACCAGCTGCAGGGCAGCTGCAACGTGAAGGTCTGGAGGCTGCGCATGCGCGTGACGGCCTGGCACGTCTCGACCCACTGCTGCCGCCCGGCGGCGAAGTAGACCGTCTTGACGGGGTCCTTGCTGGGCAGCCAGTGGCCCGGAAAGGCCCAGCGGAGCTCGACGGCGCGGATCGCGTCCCAGAAGTCCGCGGGGATCGTGGGCCGCAGGTACGTCAGGGACCAGGTGTTGCTGAATTCGAAGGTGTTGAGCGTGTAGAGGGTGTAGATGGATTCGGTGTAGCTGTTTTCCTTTTGTTAGATGTAGGAATTGGGGTTGGGGTTGGGGGACAAGGGATAGAACGCACATCTGCTTACACGTCAACACCAACGCCAGAAGCCCTGGAGTTGTTGGCCTACGACTCGCGGCCTTCGTCGCGCTGGGAAGCCCACCCTCGCAGATCTCACATCCCCGGACCACCCCGTCTCGACGGCCCCCGCCACTCGTTTCGGGACACACGACGTGCCCCATTCGTCGATTCGCACGCTGCACGATATGAATGCGCATCCCGCCCTGCACCAGCTCCCAGATCGTCATGCGCAGCTCCGGCGACAGCTTCGCGAGGAGGGCGCTGTCCCGCTGGAATGTCCATTCGCCCCGGGTGTCGGGCTTTGGTTGCTGTTGCGGCTGCGGCTGCGACGTACGTTGACCCTGTTGAGCGCTGCTGGATCGCCGGGTCCGAGGGAGGGCGGTTGGCTTGTTATCTTCAAACATGACAAGCATGAATTAGAACCACAATCCTAAGAATGAGGGTAAGGGGGAGGGCGGCGACGACTCACTCTGATACCGTTGCGCCAGTACATCCTCCCACGAGAAGATCCCCTGCTTGATCCTGGCCATGGTGATCCGCAGAATCTGCGCCCCAGTATAGAAGGTATACCAAGATGATGCTGTACCAAAAGATTGAACGAGCGAGACCGAAAAAGAATGCAGCAACAACTGTCAATAGTCCATGACTTCCAATTGATGATGAGCTCGGAAGGTTGATTTATCTGCCTGACGCGCCCAGAAATGCCCAGTAACTTGTATACTGGGGGTGATTTGAGCCACACGATCGATTTTGAAATCACGCGAGATCTTGTTCGACGTACGTGGCTGCGGGGGTAGATGAGGGGAACTTGGGGAAGAAGGGAGGGATCCGAATGTAAGCGCCAGCGGTCAACCGGAGAGGAGGTTCATCGTGAGAATGGGGGAAGAAAGAGTCTATGCTGGAACTATACTTGGAAACCTAGCATGAGGGACATCGTTATATATGGAATATGGAAGGGGTGAGGAAGACATATCATCTAGAAGGAAAGTCGGTGAGGTGAGATTCACCTTCCATTTCATCTAAATACAGTAGAAGGGAGATGGCAGAAAGATAACACGGCGATAAGCAGTCGCTCAGTTCGGCGGATGTCGGATATTGTTTGTTGACTGGCAAAGGGAAAAGGGAGATTACAGCCTCGTCGCCTAATCAAAATCCCGCCGGAGAACGAAGCGGAGTAATTCCTGCTGGATTGTCTTCCTTGAATAACTACTCCGTAGCCCACTCCCTACTCAGTTTCATTCAATGATCTCTGCCCCGTCAGGCATCTGTCTTATCGCCTTATCTTCTATTGTGATTTCCTTTCCTGGAGTTGCAGATCGTGTCACGCGGCACTTGACTACTTTGTCGCTGGATAGATCACAGCCTCATCTATGGTGAGAGTCATACCACCGTGATTATTATCGTTCTGTTGATTCCAGAAAATTAACGCCCAAACTCAAATCCCACGCACTATCTCCCTCCGGCTTCTTCTTCGCCTTCATGTTGATCCCCTCCAGCGCGGCCACTCCCAAGACACCGCAGCATGCCACAGCAGTCGCAATATGCCTGTGTCACGGACTTGCTGTACACAGACATGACTGGATCGTACAGCGATGAGGGCCCGGTGCTCCCCAGCCCAGTCGCACCCGCATTGCTGGGACATTGCGACTCGCCCTCATCATCGTTGTGACTTGCGATAGCTTGAGAGTCTTCAGCCGGATCTTGGTAGTTGACTGACCCAGCGAGGCTAGAGAGAGGCCCCTGAGAGCTTTTCATTCACATATGTTCTGATGCTAGCCTGGTCCTGCGTCGTGTGAAGGGCCGGGACTCCATTGGTATTGAGACGAGCTTGTCACTGGCCGGATGGACAGCAGAAGAGACAAACGTGAGAGTACTGTTAGAGGACCTCGAGGCAAAATGCCGCAGTCATTGATGACAGTCAGTTTTTTGGGGAATTCAGATGATTGTATCAATCGGCGACGTGATCAGGTTGTGGCACTGGTGGCTTCTGGAGACAGCCTTACATCCCAAATTGTGAGATGAGAGTCTGAATATAGACCCGGAGAGACTCGGTCTGCCGTGATAGTCTTTTTACAAATTCTTGACCTTCCTGGCGTGAGTCGTCTATGTAAAGAGCAATCCTGCATAGTACGAGATGGGGGAGAGACGGGGAGACAGAGAAGGGTGAGATGTCCGAACGGACCCAACCGAAGGGGAAAAGCGTCAATGGAGGCTGGAGTTATGGTGGCTCACACTGAATGATCCCCGGGAACTCCATGCCTTAGCGCTCAGGCCAGCCCAAATTGAGGGCCTATTCAGAGGGGCGGCCCGCAGCGCTTATTTCCATGCCCCGGGGATGTTCGAGATAGCGTACGGACTTATTTGATACTACGGCAGGAACTAAACCAGTTCACTCACTTCGACTCACCATGCACAGCATCCTTCATTTCAAACGGGTTATATCACGGGTTATATCCAACACACTCAGGAATATTGTACTTGACATGGTTGTGGACATTGGACCGCATATACAGAGCACCTGATAGTCTTGGACGTGCAGATTAGAAATGATGCATAGATCAATATTATTTGATGAGCACTTGACGGCACATTGGACCGCGACGACTACTCTAGGCTATTCGTGACGATATTATCAATTGATGACAAACAAGGGAAGTGGGAGTCTACAGCACCGCGAAAGCCGAGACATAGCTCACCGAGCTGTCGTTTACATCCGTGATATCGGCACTTCGCTCGTATCGGACGAAGTGAAATTTGCCCTTCTTGCTCTCATCTTGGCTAGTGATTGCTTCGAGGGCGGCCATGATGACCCCGATGGGGTGACGACCGCACACGGTGTTTCCCGTCCGCTCGACTGCGTCGAGGAAGCTTGCCGCACGTCCCGTGGTGATGGCCGCCATGGTTGCAATGTCGAACGCAGAGATGCTTTCGTGGATGGCGGGCTCGTGGCGCTGGACACGGTCCCGTCGCTGAAGGGAGTGGCCGGTGGATACCGACTCCACCGTTGCCTCTACATCTCTGTGGTTGTTGACTTCAGGCTGGGGGAGCGAGTTGGCCGATAGTGGGAGACTCGGTCCTGGTTTGGGCGCGTGGGGAACGTAGTAGGTGTACCGGAACCGCAACCCCCAGTGACAGAAATCCGAACTGATGACAAAGGCGTTCTCGGGATCCTGCAAATAGGGGGCAAGCAAGGTCCCAAAGGCTTCCTCGGTCGCAGCCGTAGTGCTTCCCACCATGATGGGGACTAGCGGTGGATACTGGGATGTCGGCTTGTTGGGATGTTGGAGTTGAAGAAGACGGTGGATGTAGGGCAGATGGAGCTCGATACTGTGCTCCGCTTCATCGACGGACTCATTCATCGTTGTAAACGAGATGTTCGTTCCATTGCGCTTGACGGCTTTGGTTGATAGGAGCTTCGCGATAAGCTCGGTATCAAGCGGCAGAGGGTCATCGGACAGCGGGGTATAGTATGATGTGAGCTCGGGGAGAGCAAGTGTCGTCAGATAATGATGGTGAGAGGGTCCCAGCACAAAGATCCGTTTTCTGCGATTAGAGTGAGTCGTTGTTGGCATCTGGGGTACTCTTGCTTCCTACGCTTTTGACAAGTCCAGGGCTTTATAGGCATGGGCCGCACATGGCCCGGAGTATGCATAGCCCGCATGCCTGGGGAATCAGCATGCTGTCAAAAGATGAATAGTCACATTAGCTTGGACATACGGAGCGATAATGATACGAGCACCAGGCACAGGCAGTGATCCAATACCTGGGATCTCGTTTGGGACCTGAGCCAACCACTGGTCCAACTGACGCGTCAGGGTATGTTGGCTATCGGAATACCAAGAACCAGCATGGGTGGCTTCGCGAGACGGCATGCTGAGCTGATATTCTTCCTCTGCAAGAGTATAGCAATAAGAAGTTCGATTAAAACTGCAAGTTGACTATTTGGGCCCCAGACCGAAGCGTGCAGACGCAAGAGGGTATAAGGGATTGGTAAGTTGCAGGTGTTTTGTCGGTCGGTCAGAGTCTCACAGACAGCTTGATGAAGCAGAAGCGGGGAAGTGGGACTCCCCTCGTCATAGGCACAAAACAGCGGAGTTTGCCTCGCTCAGTATCAACACTTGAGTCTTTCCTCCGCCGGTATGCCGAAGGCGGCATGCCGATCATTCTATACACATTGTAAAACATTTGATCGATTGTACACATTGCGAGATCAGTATCGAATGTCCTGATGGAGTCTTAGGTTATTGTAGGTCAGGCATTCCTCAAATGTAATGTGGTAACTACCCCCATATGGTAGGCCTCAAGTAATCCAGGATAGGAAATCAATACAACCATAGCAGTTATGATGGTGAAGCCAGTCGTTGCATGCGCTTTGGCAGCGCTCACTGGAGACCGATCCAAGGCATAGTAAAGTAGATATTGGTCTTCTTCTCGGCATAATTCATACGTCTGTCCTGGATTTGAGATAAGAGCACCACCTTTGCATCTGCGCCTTGTTGGAACCACTGCTCCTTTCGGAACTAAACTTGTGAGCTTCCAAGTCGTGCTCACTAAAGTCCTATAAAGGGGGCAATCAATAAATGCTAATCATCAAGTTATTCAGGGTAGTGAAGTATAGATCGAGAAATCAATCGACACAAACTACGGGATTCAGCCAATTTACCCCCAAATGGGAATAGCGCATATTTCATGTAGTGCGACGCGGTCTCGCCTTCATTTTCTCCGCGATCCGACGCGCCGGCGTCTCGACCAACCACGCCCGGAAAGGCTTTCTACCCCAGCCTTGTTGTTCTCCTCAGCCTATATATTAGAAGAGCTGCTCAACCTCGTTCTTCATCTATCCACCAGGTCCATCTTTCACAATTGCTCCCATAACGTTCGTATATATACTATTTCGATCAACAACGCATTGCTCGACCGGACGATACACTATCGACCTTGCAATCGGCAATTGAGACCTCAAGTCATCATCAAGTCATCATCATGTCCCTTAAGCGCAAAGCTTCATTTCCAAGCCTCGAATCACAAAATGCCCCCTTCGGTTCGATTGGGGGTTTCGGGAAGGGGGAGGAACCACCCCAGCATTTGAACAGTCGGACACGAAAGCGTTTCAGGAACGACCGGCCAGAAGAGAAAGTTGTATATGGTAAGGCTTGTTGATCGCTCTCACCGTCCTGGCATTATACTTACACCTTTCAGAGAACACACTTCGGTGGCTTTTCACAGCCCAACAGCAACAAAGAGCCGCCCCCCTTGCAGATGAGGAAGAACAAATGAATCACGAACCAACACTATCCCCTGAGACGGTCGACCCGCGCCAGCAGACGTTACTCAAATTTTTCCGTCCTTGCCAATCATCCCCCAATAAATCGCACTCGAACAGCTTTATGCCGAAGACCAGCGAGACTCCGTTCTTTGGCGCGACACCTGTGCACCTTCACAGTATGCCAATCTCGGCTCCGGGACATTTAATGGATAGCGACACATTCAGCCGTCCTTCTCAGACCACGGATACTGATATGGATGTCGACATGGAGTCGGCTAGTGATGAGTCGAACTGCTCATCCAGAGCACCAGCTGGCGGACTCGCCTGGATGGGACACCCTAGGTTCTGAGCGCCAAACGAAGAACCTGATCTCTTCTATGTCGCAATCGACAATCTCTTTTCAATTAGCGATGATACCAAACCTTACACTTCGTCACACTGGGGTTGACTTACCGGCTGTTGCTGGTCACGTCGGTTCTATTCAGACCCCAACCTGATGCGTCTTGTCTTGGACAACAACTGAATGACGTCACTCATTTGTATACTTCACAGCCTCGATTGAGAAGCTGTGTTCTTGCTCCGAAACGAGCTTGAATGTCTCTGGCCCTGCTTGCATTATTGATGTGGCTTGGGAGGCTGAGACGGCCGCGGCTTCGGACGCAGCCTCTATGTGAATTATATCTACATAATACTATTGAGCATTAGAACACAAAGCTTGTATAACCGAACCAATGTCTTATACAATCTGTCTGAATGGAACAATCAGTACCATAAGAGACAACACCTAGTATTGTTTCGGCAGTTCCGTGTTATTCAGTAGTCTTGGAGTTTCATCAACGTGTACAGGACACGAGGAGGCTTGAGCATAATTAACAAAATATTGAGGAAACCAAGTTCCTTGATTCCCCACGCGAACTGCTAAAAGAAACATGTTTTTTTTTTTTCTTTTTTTTTTTTTACGAACAATGGGTGGCTGAAGCTACAGCAAGTGGTAGTTAGTCACACGCTCAGTTTTCGGGTGTCACATGCGGGGGAGGAGCAGTAATGCCTGAGGTCTCCAGCGGTTCCGACTATCATGGATCCTTGACGCTACTACGCTGGGGTGACCATCTTTCTCCTTCCGAGGACTAACCTGGGACCACCCAACCGGAACACGCCCAATTTAGCTTCGAGGAGAGCCTTCGCCTCAGCTGAAGATATAAACCCCGCCTAAATATTTTCCGACTGACTACTGCGCCCCAGGCAACTTTTACCCTCTCGAGTCGAGTCTCGTTTAGCATCGGCCAACGCAGAACAGTCCAGACCGCCAAGTTCTCTCCTGCGAGTGGTCGCATTCAACCCCCCCCCCCCCCCCCCCCGGCTCTCTCACCTGTGAGGTCAAGCTGGTTAGTCCGCCTAGGACAAGTTCAACAAAAATTCGAAAGGAGGAAGAGAGAGCTATACAAATCATGGACGAGAACACGGCAGTGCAATACTTGGACTCCTTGATCGGTCGAACCCTCCGGGTGCACGCGACAGACACGCGCATTTTCGTGGGCACCTTCAAGTGTACCGATGCGGTAAGTGCTCTCTCTCTCTTCACTTGAATGATTTGTTGGGGTCGGAGTTGGCGGAAATGATACGAGATTGTTTTTTTTCTTTCAATTTTATTTGGGGTCGCTGTTCAACTTGGGGTTCAGGTTCTGACTTGATGTTGTCTCTCTTTCTTGCATTAGGCACGAAATATCATCCTGGCCAATACTCACGAGTACCGGTATCCCTCTCCCTCCGCCGTTCGAGACGCGGCCACGAATGCGAATGAGCTAGCCGCAGAAAGCGCGGGGACCGCGCAGAATAATATCAAAGTGTCCATGACTAGTCGATTTATCGGGCTGGTGGTCGTCCCCGGTCAACATATTACCAAAATTGAGTTGGAAGAGACCCCGCAACTGGGTCGTATGCGGGAGACACTCCGATCATAATGAGGTTGTGATCTCCTATCGAAAGACGGACTACTGGAAGCTTGACGACCCGGCGGCACGAGATGCTCCAAGTTACGAACACGAACACTACACTATACTCATGCTATCTGGGATGATGATGGGGCGAAGGGGGAGGACTTTGAGATAAGAATTCGTGGAAGGGAGGGGGGTCAAGACCTCATGGTGACCCAGGAGACGCATGAGTAGCGCACAGAGCCGAAGCAGTCTGCACGTTGACCCTGTGCCAAAGGCCCACATATGCCTCGCTTTCAGGGAGGAGCTTTCTTAAAGAAGAATAAGGGTTTTTCCTGTTCCCCAGCCGAGCTGCTGTGCGAGCCAAGGCAAAGCTCTCAAGCACTCCAGCAACAACAACGTGGTTAGGAGAAATATTCAGACAAAGTCGTTGGTGCTTGGCGCAGGCTGCATGGGCTTGGCAGCAGCAGCCACCGTCGTGACCCTGCACCACGGGGCTGTGGTCGAAATGGCGGTGTTCCTGCAGTTTGGCATACCGCTGACTGTTGCATCGTTGAGGTGATTTAAAGGGTATCTCGCAGCGCACGATCCTTGCCTTCGCAACTTTGCTTCCACTCGAACGGGGGTGGTACAGGGCCAGCCCGGGTTAGATGGCCGCGCGAGTGGTTGGAGACGATATCGCTATTGTGGAACAACAAGGTTATGACTTGTAGTTCGGCATCGTGTATCTATATCTAGCCACCTCGAGTGGATCACTCCGGACGGCGAGTCGGGTGTGGTCGGAGCGTTCTGGAGGCTGACTGTCGGTGATCATCCGAAGATGATTGATGCGTCCGGGATCCAGGCAGAATTGAAATCTCCATGCATCATTCCAAGAACGAAGAACCTATGATTTAGGGAAAGGAACGAAGCCAAGGCCTTAGGAGGGGTGGACGCAGTGGAAAGAGACCAACCATGTGCCTTTTACGTAGAGCAGCAGTGTACAGGTTCGATAAGTGCTCTAGATCTCATGCGAAGTTTGTTGGGATCGAGGAGAATGAAACAGTCATAATGTCATCGACGATCTCACCGTAGTGACCGATGTTATAAATAAGTCGGATGGGGACTCAGACAGTCTGGATCGAAGTCAGATTTGACCTGAGGCGATAAGATTGTGTGGACAGTGACAAAGACCCCCACACCATCATCCACAATTGAACACAAATCAGCATCAGCATCAGCATCATCAGCATCATCATACCTAAGTGTATGAGTGTATGCTATAATAAGCAGGCGGTTCCTCATACCGTACTTTCTCTACCACACGTACCATTTCCGCTGAAGCATTTATCCACCATCCATCTATCTATCCATCCACCCATCCAGGCAGCTCCATTCTTGTTCCTCAGGCAACTCACTTGCTACAAAAGCTCTCAGGCTTAAAGCTTCCCCGTTCCGGGCCGACCGATTAATCCGGACATGCCACACTTGTTGTTCGCTGCAGGATTCGAGACCAAAAACGAACTGAGCCGAGCTCACCTGGCAGCTGTTAACGTACTGCACTTAGTACAGTACAAAGTAGTAGACTAACTGAGTGGACTGGCTGGGTCTTGAGGCGAGAACCTTCACTCTTTACTAGGCTAAGGCTAACTTGACTAACTAGTTAGTCTACAAGTAAAGTAAGTTCACTCCAGCCTTCTCTTTCCACACCGTTAGTTAAGTTACCTAGTAATTCTTTTTCTCTGTTTCTCGTTTTCTCCTCTTCGCCTTCGCCTTCTTCTTCTTCTTCTTCCTTTACCACCACCAACAAGCTTCTATTCCACTATCGTCATTGGTATTGATCCTTCCAGTAGCTCAAGTGTCTCAACCTTATCCTCTGTGGCTTGTGTGTGAGAGTGAGTATTTTAATCTGGTCTGGGTTTTCCCCCATTCTTTCCACTGCCACATCCCCCTCGTGATGACGCATCTTTGCCCGTTTCCACAACTCTTATCATTTTCCCCTCCCACGTCTTCCACTACACCCACCCCCCGTCAGAAACAGATCACAGATCCCCCCCTCAAAACTTTACCTAAATTCTCCGTTTGAATATCTCACCTGCTACCTACCGCCTATCTCCACATGCAACCCTTTCCCCCAGGTTTCTAGTGTCTCTCTCGAATGTATATTGCCATGAACTAGTGTTCCTTTTTGTCTTTCATCCTCCCGCCGCCCCGTCATTGCCCTTTCGTCCTCCTCCCCTCCTAACTCCTAACGGTCGCGATTTAGGAGCTTCCTCGGCGAATCGGAGCTTATCCTTCCGACGACTAGCTCTCGGTGGCTGATGCTTTCGTCTCCCCCAAACTCGATGTCCATCCATTCCTGCCTCTAATTCCTTCTGCGCCATTAATCGAAACTCGACTCCTCTTTTCCTTCGCGTCACCTCGAAGGGCTGGATCCCTTATTCCCCGTACAAACATCGATCGTGCCCGGTTTCCCGACTACTGCTTCCCATCGCCGTGTCTTGTGGTCATCAACTGCCCCCGTGACAATTTACTGACCTGTCGACTCCACCATCAGCGAAAGATTTTCCTCTTCCTTATAACTCCCAAACCTACCCTCGGAGGTATACTTGGCCAAGACACCTGCTAGCATTCCAGCACCTAGCAGGGCTTGGTGCTCCTCTGCTGAATCCCCATCCATCGTCGGGCGTCTGAGATTGAGCTTGGCAGATATTTTGCCGTTGCAGTAATGGGTCAATCGCATTCCAAGGGCAATAATGGCCCTGGCGATTCTTTGCAATCGTATCCATCCTTTTCTCGCTCTGACACCAAGGAATCCATTCGCTCCCTCCGTGGCTCGATCCGCTCTAAGATTCGTAGCAGCGACAGTCCCCGCGCCTCCACATCTGCTCTGTATCAGACGGAAAGCCAGACCGATAAGTCGGATGCTGGCTCGATCAAATCCGCGGCAAGTAGGCGCAGCTCTACCAACCTGAGCGCTCCTCAGTCCCCTGCTGCTGACGATGCCGCTTCCAAAACCGACTCATTGGAACCTCCTCCGTCGCCGTCCCTGTCCACCAGTCTGAAAAGAGGCCATAAAGATGTGAACGCGATGCAGCAGAGTGGGGAGGTTGACCTCGTGTCAGACGCTCCCCCGACCGGTGTTGCCCCCAAGGGCCCTTCTACACAAAAAGTTGGCGAATCGATTCTCATCAAGAGGGAGAACCAGCTGAATCCGATTCTGGACTTCATCATGAACACCCCGATGAACAACGAAACATCTGGATCGCCGGGAATGGGAATGGGTGCTTTGAAGTCGATCGACCTGGATGACATGATCTCCCGACTCCTGGATGCTGGCTACTCGACCAAGGTTACCAAGACCGTTTGCTTGAAGAATGCAGAGATCGTGGCCATTTGCAGCGCCGCACGGGAACTCTTCCTCTCCCAGCCCGCTCTTCTGGAGCTGTCGGCCCCCGTCAAGATTGTCGGAGATGTTCATGGTCAGTACACCGATCTCATTAGGCTGTTCGAGATGTGTGGGTTTCCCCCTGCCTCAAACTACCTCTTCCTGGGTGACTATGTGGATCGTGGAAAGCAGAGCTTGGAAACAATTCTGCTTCTGCTCTGCTATAAGCTCAAGTACCCCGAGAACTTCTTCCTCCTGCGTGGCAACCATGAGTGTGCCAACGTCACTCGCGTGTATGGATTTTATGACGAGTGCAAACGGCGTTGCAACATCAAGACTTGGAAAACATTCATCGATACTTTCAACTGCCTCCCTATTGCTGCGATCGTTGCTGGCAAGATCTTCTGTGTCCATGGTGGTCTGTCGCCGAGTCTTTCCCATATGGATGACATCCGAGGTATCGCCCGCCCGACCGACGTACCGGACTATGGACTGCTGAACGATCTTCTGTGGAGTGATCCAGCAGATATGGAGGAAGACTGGGAACCGAGCGAGCGTGGTGTCAGCTACTGCTTCGGCAAGCAGGTCATCATGAATTTCCTGCAACGGCATGACTTTGATTTGGTGTGTCGAGCGCACATGGTGGTCGAGGACGGCTATGAATTCTATCAGGACCGTATTCTGGTTACTGTCTTCTCTGCGCCTAACGTGAGTATATTTCGAAGTCGATTTGTGTCAATGCTTTTCATGATACTGACTGTGGATTTATTTAGTATTGCGGTGAATTCGATAACTGGGGAGCCATCATGTCTGTTTCAGGTGAATTACTGTGTAGCTTCGAACTCTTGAAACCGTTGGATTCCACGGCCTTGAAGAACCATATTAAGAAGGGCCGGAACAAGCGGAACAGCATGCTCAGCAGTCCTGTAAGTCGTCCCTTGCTTGTTCGTTTGTTCTCGCCAAGCCCAGAGACTACACCCTTGTGTAACAATGCCGAGGCATCTGTACCTTGGACGATACTTGCTTCTTCTGCACTGGTGCATTGACTCGATTACAATGCTAACGTCTGCAGCCTGCAATTGTCTCGGCACAAAGCTACTAGAGGTCCTGGTAATTGCATGCCAAGCGATCATCATCCGCCATATGTCACCATCAAAATACCCGGACCCAACACCACGAAAACTGACCAATGCTCATCATTCGCTATCGGCAGTGCAGCCTTTGGCAACCGGCTGGGCTAGCACAGTATCACCGCCAATTCGGCAGGTGCGCCACATTTATCCCGTCGACATTCGGGCGCCAGCCTGAGGAACCCCACTGCAGTGCAGTGATCCTGGTTCTACCGACCGATTTCTCTCTCCATTCATCCGATCCTCGGCTTGGCAGATGTCGGATATGCCAGGCTCGTCATCTTTCATGTTAATCAGAATCGACAGCATAGCGAGCCGATGCTCCGAAACACGCGTCCTTGACAGACAGACTGACCTTAGACTGACCATACATGGTCCAACAAACCGTACGGTCGTTCCAGAAATGCCAATACTCATTTGCTTAAAGAGAGGACGATTTTCATGACTCCAGAACGAAAACAAGGAAGACGATGAAGACGATGCGAGAATCGCCACTTTGTTTTTCATCCCCTTGCTATGATAAATCACGG